CCTCATGAAACATACACTCATCCGATATGCATTAGGGATGCACAATATGGATTTTCTTTTTATCAGCTGATATGAGAACTGATAATGACCTGCCTCTCACTGCCGACACCGATAAGTTGCCTGATAATTCTGTATTTAAAAGCAGTTCATAACCTGAAGTTTATGCACTGCTGAGAAAGAATGAGATGTGGTGAGAAAAGCTGGATAATTTAAACATTTCTCACTCTTCAAATGTTTTATTTTTTCAAAAAGTTTTTTAAAAACTTGACAAATATGGCCTATATAGAACATAAAGCCTATTAATTGTTTTACATAAGAAGTCCAAATAACTAATAATCTCAACTCATAATTTATTGTCTGTAATTTAATTATCCTGGCAAATTAAAATACATTTCCCATTATGGGCTGATAAATATATTTGTCCTGATAATTTTTGTTCATCCCTAATTTTTTAGATGAGTATCTTTCAGTTTATTTAAAATTTTCTGTTGGTTGTATTTTCTTTACTGTATCTTATTTTACTTGCGCACTCAATTTCTCCTGAAGGAGCCTTGTGTAACACACAGATTGACAAATGGGCCGAATTCCTCTCTGGTTGCAGTAAACAGCGAATGCACAGTAATCCGGTTAGAAGAGTGAATGTCAAAGGCATACGATGGCAGTGATTTACGGTGCTAAAAAGTTATGATGATGATTATTATTATTATTATTATTATTATTATTATTATTATTTTGGTACAGCAGAATGATAAATCCCATCCTCACAAAAATCAAGTAGGACTGTCTTTATTTCTCTTTAATTGGGTTTTTTATTTAGCAGGATTTGTTTATGACATGAAGGGTTCTTAAAGCGCTTCCACACTGATGGTCCACCCACACAGGTGTTTTCACTTATCTGACTGATTAGATCTCTTCTCAGGGCTGTGTGGGCGTTCACAGACTGCACTTGATCAGCATCTTCATTACTCTCCTGTTATTTCTGTTGCACATTACTTACACCTTAATAACTGAGGTTCAGATCGACACGTTTTCCTCCCATCACCATCTAATAAAGGCATAAAAAGAACTATCACCTGCAGAACTGTGACACTGTGTCAATGTGCAGCCAGGTCGTTATATTGGTTGTATCCTTTTATGTATAAAACTGCACAGCAAAATGAAAGAAGCACTGTTAAAAGGAAGGATGCTGATTGGCTGCAGTGAGCACAAGAACAATGATAAAGGGCACTGGCAGGTAAATGTTGGATAAAAAGTTACATAATTTACAGTTTTCTGGCATTCTGTTGTTCATAGATAGCTCTCGCAGTGTGTGCTTACAAACCTGCCCACATTATTTCCTGTCTCACCTCTTTGAGCCACAGTGAGCTGGGTCTGACCTCACCTTTTATCAGTATATGAACTTTGGTT